AACGACTGGGTTTTCTGCTCCTGTAAATAGTTACAGCCTCAGAAACCTACAGGGGCTCACTGAGTCAGCATCGACTGGATGACAGTGAGTTTTCATAATGATTACTCATTGGGCTACTAACCACAAGGTCAGCAGTTGGAAACCACCAGCCACTCCATGGGAGAAAGACGAGGCTTTCTATTCCCATAAAAAGTTACGTTCTCGGAGACTCACAGGGGCAGCTCTACTCTGTCCTCTCAGGCGATATGAGTAGGAATCAATTCAACGTGAGTTTGGTTGGGTTTTCTGTTTTTGTGTCAGTTGATAAACACACAGAGAGCTGTGCTGGCTATTGTTGTTGTGCCATTGAGGCAATTCTGACTCACGACAGCGCCATCGGTCAGAGTGCAATAGCCCCACTGGTTTCCACGGCTGTCATCTGTATGGAAGTAGATGGCCACACCTTTCTCCTACAGAGCAATGGGAGGGCTCAACTTATCTGAGAAGTGCTTAAGCATCGTGCCCTCAGACCTGAGACGGTGAATGGAAATGGCACCCAAGGACTCCCTTCCAAGAAGTCCCGTGGTGGGGGGCAGAGGCACTTGCCGCATTGGTGCCATGGTTTCCAATAGACCACTGGAGTTACGGGGGTGAGGCGGCCTGCCAGGGGGAGAGGCCCGATGAAGTAGACTGGTGTCAGTGTGTTGATGAGGAGTTTGGCAACAGGAGGATTAAGTGTGAGGGTCACGTACACGGTTCCAGCTCCAGTCATGTGGGACTTCTGGGCTCGTGGGTCAGCTCTTTTGATTTTCTGTATTATAACTTGAAATCTGGAATTTATGTGCAATCTCCAGATCTTCCAGTATAGGCAGCAACTTCTTATACCCTTTATAGACTTAAAACACATCTGCAAACAGCAATATAAGACTGTATGTGTAAACTTGACTTGCAAACCAAAGGCAAGAATAAGTTCCTAGCTTCCGTAAAAAGAAGAGCGGCTTTGACACCGAGGGGTGTCTCAATGCCATATGGCAGGACTGACTAGGGAGAGTGTGATGTGAAGCTCTTTCTTTTATCCAGGACATCTTTGGTGTGCTAATTCTATCACCTGATCTGGTGGGCAAGTAGGTACGAAGACTATTGCCTCGTATTTTTACCACTTAAAGAAAGCACTTTCCCCCTAAGGAGCTCCTGGATGCAAAGGGTGAAGTGCCCAGCTACACACTGCACTATTACCGGCTAGAATCCAGTTAGAGGCACCTCAGAAGAAAGGCCTGGTGATCATCTTCCAAAAGATTGCAGGCACTGAAGAGCCGGGGAGCGCAGGTCTGACACGCACACGGTTGTCGTGAGCTGATATCGATGTTATAGAAACTGGTTTTCTCTGTTTGTTGTTTAACTGCCCAAAAGGAACATTTAAATGGCACTCTTCCATAACCACAAATGGGGAAGACTTGGGTGCATTTTTTGATATGCTTCATAAATCAGAAGCTCTTGATCGCTGGTGTTGCACATATTTAACGATGTAATAATGGAGCATTTTCTACTTAGTCAAAATACAACATTGTCTAAATGTGATTCTTCAAATTCTAAATGTGTTGTGTGATCAGTAATATTGCACTAAAATCTGAGTTGACAGAAGGGCACACAAGGATTTCCACCTTGTGCCCAGTGAGCTGGCTTTCGGAGAAGTAAAGATATCCATTGGACTTGTTCACGGTCTTCCTGAACACTATCCCTCTCAAGCCACAGATGCTGGGCTAGTTGTACTCTCCAGTCACAGTAGTTCTGCTGGCTGGCTTCAGTTATTATTCTTCATTTTTCATATTATGACTGTAATAAATAATTAATCTACAGCTTTGTATTTTGCTGACAAATATAAATGCAGCATTGCAAAGCAGTGTGACTCAGAGGCAAGCACAATGGAGGAAAGACAGTGTTTAACTGAAGACTTTCACAGTAGTTTATGGGATCAAGGTCAACAGCTAAGGCAAAGTCAGTGTAGAGGAAAATGCCTTGTTTTCAAGCTCTGAACACTAGGAATAAGAGTAACCTTTTGTAAAACAGGTGAATTCATTTTAGTGCTATCAGAAGTTAACAGTGTTAATTAATAGTTGCAATGTGCTTCAGATAATAGGGGAAATGATAGATTGGTTCTTGCTTAGACATTAAATATTAGTTGGGTACTCTAATTTTAACAAGCTAACATAAAAGAAAAGAAAACTCATAAATCAATTGGCTGACTGCTTCTGAGATTTACTTTACTCAAATTGGTTAAGTAAAAGACAAATATCAGGTTGATTATCATTTTGCTACCTAAACAGAGAGACCTCAAGAGATGAAAATGTGTGAACAAAGAAGAGATTGGCAAGATATAGAAGGCATCTCCAAATAAACAAAAGGTCCCCAATTCTAGTTTAAAAAACAAAAAGCAGTTGTCAGTGAGCCTTTAGGACCCTTGCAACCTATGTGCAAAGGGACGTGAAAGAAAGGAACAAAAAGATAATAGAATTTTCCCCAAACATTTCTGGAGGCTCCTCCTATGTCAGAGGAGAACTAGCCGCCCATGCGCATCAGAATAAAGCTGTGCTCATCAGAAGTAAGTTGCCGAGTGCCTCCGGGGAGACGTAAACTTTCAACTATTTAGTTGTCAATCAAGTTCCCTAACCATCCATACCACCCAAGACTCTCAACTGTAATAGAGAAGAGGTTTCATGATTTTTATCTCAAACCCTCCAAAATTTCCAACTTCGTCACCTCTCTATGATAAAAATGGGATACTATCAATGTCTAGAGTAGAAAATATCTTAAACTCAGGGAGGCTGTGGATATTGTAGGGGACTGCCTCTGAAGGGGCTGAATGGTGCCACATATACATGAAGTGCACCGTCTGGCCAATCGACTTTGGCCCTGGTAATGAACCGATGGCAGCCCGAGAACATTAACTTGAGATGTCAGTGTGTGGATGAAAAGCGAAGTGATGCTGAGACCGGTCTGGCTTTCTCTCACCAGGTGTGGGCAGGGGAGCAAGAGGGAAGGAACCCCGGAAAACTCAGGGTGGGCCATTTCACCAGGTCTTTCCCCACCTTGTTCCTACTGTACCACGAACCCACGCCCCACTCTTTTTTCTTCTCATTTTTTCTCCCATTCCTTACATCAATCCTTCCTTCCATTCTCAGGCAGAAGCCTTGGAAGGCCCTCTGGGGCAGTTACATTATCTACTGTCAAATTGAGTAAGGGGTAGAGCAGGCGTCCTCAAACTACGGCCCACGGGTCACATGTGGCCCCGCCGAGAGGACATTTATCTGGCCTGCCGGCTGTTTTTGCCCTGTTTGTTTTTTTACTTCAAAAAAAAGATATGTGCAGCGTGCATAGGAATTTGTTCATAGTTTTTTTTTTAAACTATAGTCTGGCCCGCCAATGGGTCTGAGGGACAGTGAACTGGCCCCCTATTTACAAAGTTTGAGGACCCCTGGGGTAGAGTCTAGCCTGTCAATCAGGCTGTAGCTTGATGACTTCATTTGGAGGCCCGACGGAGATAAATAGCTCACTAGAGGCTGGCCACACGCTCTCCCTCAGAGACATTCCTCTTGACAAGCCACATGGAGCTACCAGATGGAGCCAGAGCCTTGAGCTGGAGGACCCACAAAGAGACCCACACCAGCGCCGAGACACTTCTACCACCACTGGATCCACAAGACTTTCCACCCACTAGCCTGTGATCTTCCTGCATTCCTGCATTCAGCATCATTGCATGTGTTGCCTGAGTCTGAAGAGGAATTTATAGACTGGTGTCGGGTATCTGGGCTAGTATCAGACTTATGGGCTTGACCTGGGCTGGGCTGCTTTCTTAATGTACAATTACTCTTTGATATAAACCTCTTTCATATACACACGAGTGCCTATGAATTTGTTTCTCTAGTCAACCCAGATTAACACACCCTCTTTGGTGGCAGTTGATAATGGTGACACTGGACAATAAGACTAAGCTGATAGCCTACCAAAACCATTTCACTCGTGAGTCAAGACTCTAGGTCAGTGATTCTCTGTGGGTCATGACCCGTTGCACGTCGAATGACCCTTTCACAGGGGTTGCCCGATTCATAACTGTAACAAAATGACAGTTATGAAGTAGCAATGAATACAATGTTATGGTTGGAGGTCACCACAACATGAGAACTGTATTAAAGGGTTTCAGCATCAGGAAGGTAGAGAACCACTGCTCCAGGTCATCAGTTCCTAAACTTGTACGGTCTACCGCCCTCTTTTCAGGGGAAAAGCGAAACCACTCAGTACTTTCTTGGCAATCAAAACATTCATACTACAGCCCACAATCCAGGATGAAGTGTAGACATCTGCTTGCGAGCCCCTTGGATCGTTCCAGCATCCCAAGGCACTCTAACCTTGGAAATGTTATTATTCTTTAAGAGTAATTGCTTACTGCAGGATTATTTACCATTTATTACTATAAACTATGGGAAAGAATGCAATGCAATGACTTTCAGAACTAAAGATTTCTCTCAATGAAGGCAAAAACTAAGCAAATAATTCTGCAACCCAAGATAAACAGATTTCTTCAGCAAAGGAACCCAAAGGCGGTACAGCTTCACCTTCAGAGTCTAATCTGTCACAGTTTCCTACTGGAGTCTGGTAGTGCTTCCCCTGTCTGACAGATAGTTCCCTTCTATAGCAGATTTTTTTTTCATTTCACTGGCTATTTCAGTCTTTCTTTAGAGAATGAACTGATAGGAGCTTTTTTCCCCCCCTGATGGGGAGAATTAAATCTCTGCCTGTACTCTGGCTTCACAAACACATGAGTGAAATGTTCTCAGGCAACTGCTGCCTGTGGCAGTTGATGACTCAGCCATTTCTCTCTCTCTCTCTCTCTCTCTCTCTCACACACACACACACACACACACACACACACACAGTGCATCCCATGGAAGTTGATGCCACGTGCCCCTTTGACACCACACAGCAGTAGACGCGGTGAACCCTGCTCACAGGAGGTGGGGGCTGACCTGCACGGGCTCAGGGGGCAGCTGGACCACGTGCTGCATACGCTCGCTGTGGTGATGCCTAGACTCCTCCTCATAGATCACATCCCTCTCGTGCTGGGGAAGATTCAGGAAGCGACGGATGGTACAGAGGTTCTCCCAGAGGGTGCGGTTTTCGGGGCTTGGGTTCTCCTTCCAGCGGAGCAATTCACACAGCCAGCCCTAGAGAGAGAGAAGGCCGTTTGAGTTAACCCGCAGTGTGCCGCGGAGGCAGTGCAGGCCTGACTTCAGTCAGACATCCCAGCTTACCATATTGTTCTGTCAAAAGTGCCCTGCCCCCAACCTAGAGAGACACGGAAACATATGATGCCCTGAAAACGCACCGGGGCCCAGGTGTGTGGCTCGGCCAGCGCCCAAGAAACTTCCCTCTTGTCAATGATCTTCGTACCCATCCTACTGGTTATATTTTCCATTAGCTTGCACTTTCTTTGTAATAACTAACTAACTAGACACCAAAGAAGACTAAAGTTATCTAACTCTCTGAAAAAAGGTGTTAGTGTTGGCCAGCAACAATTCCTATAAACATCACTCAATGTGATACTATCTCAAGGAAAGAAGGTGGGAAAAAATTATGTATTACGAGATGGCAAATTCCAAAGAAGAGAACATACCTAAGTGTACACAGCATTGAATTGTCTAAGGGGCAAATATTTTTGCAATAATCAATAAATCCAAAGAAGCCGGGGAAAATAACTTTAGTCAGAATGGGGAAAAAGCGCATTTGCTTAGGTCTCTGCAGGCCGTGTTCTCTGAGCCTCCTCCTCCACCTCCTTCCCACAACAGCCACACCTGCAGACAGGTAGGCAGTTGGGTGAGTCACATCTGCAAATGTCTGCCTCCGGACTCAGGTATCCGGATGTCTCTCTCTCCCCCTCCCTCTCTCGCAACTGCACGAGAAAGAAAATGTAATGCAAATAATGATGGATTATATGAAAATAATACAGAGGATGCTGTCAGCATCGCTCACTGGCTCATGTCAAAATATTTTACCCAGTCGCTTTCTAACCCATCATTTCCGAGCGACATCACTAATTTACAAAACAAAAAAAAAACCAAGAACTGTCCCACATCACGCCTTTTGCAAAAGAGTAAAATTTTTCCTAACAAGGTGCCTAAGTAAACACAAATGACTGTCTCAAAAGGAGAAAAGGCCGCAACCTCAACAAATACACTATCGTACAGAAGGCTTACGCCAGTGACAGTTCCTGACACGCATTCTAAAAACCCCATATAATATCATAAGCCGTTGTTTGTCTGCCTCTCCACTGTGTCTTCTGCCTTCACCCAAAAAAAGGCAAGATTTGATTATCTCCGCTGCATCAGCCAAGACAGCAACACCAGCTGTTCTCATTGTGCAGCCTCCTCCTCACGGCCTCCATGTTAATAACCTGATCATTCCATTTTCTCCTTCAACTGCCGGCTGCAGCCCCGCAAAGAGACAAAAACCCAGGCCCATCTGCAGCAGCTGTAGGCACTGAACTGTGAAGCCACTGGGGATTTAGAAACTAATCTGTAACACAACACTGCCTTGTTGTTACAAGTGAGAGGCCACATTACGCAGACCCAGTCTTTTCTTGCAATAAACGGGGAGCTAGGGAGAGTTAGAGGGTTAGGAAGAATGAAAACAAGATATCTAATCATTTGCTTGGGAATGTTTTTCCAAGTTTATTCATAGAGAAACAATTTTTGTTCAACTCAACTGAGAGATTGTGATGGTTTTCAAGGCACCATGTCTATGAAAAATGAAGACAATTAATTTTTTCCATCTCTACCAGCAAATAAATGATATTTTTTATAAAAAAAAATCCCCCAGTCCCAAAGTGTTTCCTCGGGGGTTTCTTTGTACAAAGGCAAAGAATTCTTGAAATGAAAAAGAAACCATCTGTGGAAAAAGAAAAACGCTCCTCTCTCGCTGTCTTTTCACAGATCTGAATAAGCCTCCCACTAAACTCTTTTTCAAATGTTTCAAACAGGTATGTTTACCATCTCCCCGGGGAAGCTTGAGCACGGAGACCAGTCATTTAACCGAAACTAAAAACACAAACCTACATCTGCTAAAAGGCGAAGTTCCGAGATACCCAGACCTTCAGGAAGGCAGCACCTGCTGTTCCGCTTGAGAAGTGAATTGCATTGTGGGAAGCCGCAGCTTGAAAGGAGACAGGTGACAGCTGAGTGGTATCTCCACTTATGACACGCGGAATGTCTCACACAACATTCATTGCTGCGTTTGATTTATATGCGCTGTTATAAGCTGCGCTCGTTACAATCACTTAGCACAACACTGCAGGCCTCGTTATGGGCTGTGTGCTGTCTGCCATCAGTCTTTAAGGAGTGTAGTGCTCAATTTGCCCACTGACATGCAAGGTCCTGACCTTGAAGCTATTAGGGAGCAGATTAGACACAAGTGTGACCATGTGTGCAGACATAAGCAAACCAAATTAATTTCGGGCACAGGGAGGTAGCCAACAAGACCCTGTTCCGAGGGCACCAGAGAACTTCCCCAAATCCCTGGTGGAGCTGAGCTAATCGCATGTTTAAGAGAACCCGGTTTTGAAGATGAAGCACATTCATGGTATTTAGAGGGTTATTAATCTAGTTTCCCCACAAAGTGTTTGCTTGGCTGATCAGATTAAGGGACGGAGCCTTCACCAGTGCACCCCCACCACAGCAGGCCCCAAGAAATCTGGGATACTTCACAGCCTTGGCCATATTGCACCATGTGTACCCAGCTGCTTCAGTAATTAGCTTATGAATGTATCAGCTGGTTCTGTGATTTTTATAAATAATAACTAACCTACAGAGCAGAAAGACTGTCAAGAGCCTCCTAGTAGCACGAAATTGCAAGGAACTCCTGACGCACTGGCTCTTCTGTGAAAATGCTGATCTTCCCCACCAGGAGAGCTCCCGCCATGCCATTTACAAAGACGCATCTGAGATGGCAATATAGTCTCATGCTCTGCATTCTGCCCCCTCTGACTCACTTGCTCACTCTGTGTATTTGCACAACTCTCTTCAGGAAACTGCCTCTCCGTGGCACTTCCCATCTCAGCCACTCTCCTTTTAGTCCAGCAGCCCACACTTCTCCACAGTGCCTCTTCCTAGCTTGCCTGGTGGCTGGCTGGTGGGTATGTATGTGAGCAAGTGCCCTGCTGCTGCATGATCACATGCATGGACTTGTGAGTAAGCCCCAGCACATGAAGAGATAAGAAGAGTCCCCACACTGGGATCTTTTTTCTTTTTTTTCATTTATATAATTTTTGCATGCCATCCAAGAAAGTTTTGCAGTATCAGGCAAAAAAAAAAAAAGTGTAAATGTCAAATAAAACAGTGACAGATGACAGTATTCTCTATTGAATAGCACTGTTTCTGTCATGCATGTTCAATGGGAACTCATGAATTATTAATAAACAAATCTCCTTTTTCTGTTAAAAATCTCAAGTAGGTTTTTTTGTCGTTGTTCCCTGTGTGTTATGCAGAGCATTCCAGGAGAATTCTTTTCATTTCAGAAATGCTGAGACAGAAGTTCACCTGACTTCCAGCCGTGGCCTGCTCCGAATGAACTGTGGGGGAGGGACCTATCTGCAATTTATCCCTGGGGCCACTTGTACATTTCGACCAAAGGGGGCTTGCACACTGCTCAGTTATTGGTACTGAGAGCCCTGCTCCCGGGAGATGAGGACCAATGGACCATGGGCTGCATGCGCCCCCTGTGGTGATGCCTGGACTCCTCCTCATAGAGTGCATCCCTTACACAGGATGAATTTAGTTTTTTGTTTCTTCAGAGTGGAAGCTGAGCTACGAGAATTACATATGGTTGAACATGGCCAGGAGGTGCAGAGCATACTCTACTTAGAGCCTTGAGATCTGCCTGCTGGGTCATGCTCTGCCCTTCACACGCAGCGGGACCTGGGATCAGCAGTTGCTGTCTTGGGGCATCCCCCAAACCAAATCGAGCCCACTGCCCCTGGGTGCAGTCCAGCTCTCAGCAACCCTAAAGGACAGCGAAGAACTCCTCTGGGCTGTGGAGACTGCAAGTCTTTATGGGAACGGACAGCCTCATCCTTCTCCTGTAGAGTGGCCAATGGGTTCGGACCATTGCCACTGCAGTTACTGACCTAACGCTTAACCCACCATCCGACAACCAAAGTTCCTTTTTGGAGCACCAAGGCTCTTCATCTGAGGGATTCCCAAGAGAGAGCCTCTGTTTCCTTCCCAGCTCCACATCTCCCCATTGCAAGATCCATACCTTGACTTTAGAAATAGCGATGACAATTAGTAGTGATCAGGAAGAAAAACTACAGAGGGATACAAAGAACCCCCTCACCAGGTGATCAAGCGGATGGCGTAGCAACATCATGAACTCTGTGCCATGACGCACTTCAGAGCACACCCATGTTGGTGGCAGAGAGTCATGCCAAGCATGCGCCCTACATTGAATCATGAGATAACATCAGGGAATCCAAATGGAGCGAGGCTTGCCAAAGGAAGTGATCTCTGCTCTTCAAAAGTGTCAAGGTCATAAGGACCTGCCACAGACTGCGTGAGATGATGAAGAAATAGTAACCCGAGAGGGTGTGGGAGCTGGACAGAGTCCAGGCACCACAAAGGGCAGTCGTAGGGAAACTGGCAAAATGAGAATAAGGACTTTAGTCAACAGAAGTGAAACCAGGTCAATGGCCTGGTCTTGATAAATGCCCCGTGGAGGGATGCATGAAAACTCTGTACTATTCTCGCAACATATCTGTGATTTTAAAATTGGTTCCAATACAAAAAATGAAAGAAAAAAAGGCAGTCTGGAGCATCCATAGCAAAATATACATGGGGTGTCAGTGTAAAGATGCGAGGGAATTCCTGATGAAAACTTGTTTTCACTTTTGAAATTTGAACCCAGAGAAGGAACACAAGTTTGGCAACTGCATCCTTGCAATCAATGGTTAATCAGTCCCCAAGCATTCGGTGCATATGCAAATAATAGTTATTAACATGCCATTTCAGCCATCACAGTGGCCTCCTAAACAAATCTCTTTGCCTCAGTAGAAACAACGATTCTGGCCACCCGTCCCAAGATGCAGGTGAGGCTTCCCTCATGCCAATCTAGCTAGAGTTTGTTTACAATCCACGTGTTCCTGAAAGGTGCATGCCAATCTACATTTACAAAGCAA